AATGGCTGCCCACTGCTCCGTGTGTGTGTTCACTGCTGTGTGTGTGCACTTTGGATGGGTTAAATGCAGAGCACTAATTCCAAGTATGGGTCACCATACTTGGCCACATGTCACGTCACTTTTTTTTAACCAATATAACTAAACAGCAATGGAACCTATCGGTACGGATAGTGGTTAGCGCACTGACATATAGTGTAACTGTGTCTCTGGCGACCCATGTTCGATTCCTGGCTTAAGGTCCTTTGCCGATCACATTCCCCACCAATCGTTACCTACTTGTCACTTGCTGCCGGTTAATTACCGTATTGTCCCAAACATAAGACGATGTTTTTTTCTTGGAAATACATCTGAAAAAACACGGTAATTACTGTGAATTTCACAGTCAGTTTCTTACAGTGCACCTTTAGGCCACCTTTTAAGATCGCTCGGCCTTCATTACCATGTGTATGCAGATGACACACAGATTTATATACATTCAAAACCTCATGAGTGCCTTGACGTTGCTTATTTGTCTGACTGCATTACTGAGATTAAAATATGGATGGATAACAATTTCTTGTGCTTGAACAGTGGTAAAACTGAAGTTATGCTCATTGGTTTCCGTTATCAAATTTCTAAAGCTGGTTGTCTGTCCCTGACTCTTGACGGCTCTGTTTTGGAAATCCAGAGTCGAGTGAGGAACCTTGGAGTTATTTTTGATGCAAATATGTCTTTTGATTCTTTTGTCCATGCAGAGCACTGTTAAAACCTATTTTTTCCACCTCAGAAATATCGCAAGATTGCGTCCCATGTTAAATTTTACAGTCGCGGAAATGCTAATAAATTCCTTTGTCGTCTCTCGGTTAGACTATTGTAATGCTCTTTTAGCCGGAGCTTCTAAATCTACACTTAATAAGTTGCAATATGTACAAAATTCAGCTGCTAGGATTCTAACTGGTACTAGGATTGGCAGTCATATTACTCCAGTGTTAGAATCTTTGCACTGGCTCCCGGTCAGGTTTAGAGTGGATTTCAAAATTATGATGCTTACTTTTAAAGCATTACATGGTCTGGCACCACATTACTTTATAGAATTGTTACATCCATACACTCCTAGTCGTAGATTGCGTTACTCTCAGTCAAACTTGTTGGTTGTTCCTCAAACACGTCTAAGATCTATGGGTGATAAGACTTTCTCTTTCTATGCTCCTGTCCTTTGGAATTCTCTGCCTCTTGAACTTAGGGACGCTCAGAATTATGATGTTTTTAAGGAACTCAAGACATTTTTTTAAACTTGCATTTGCTTGTAAATTTTGTATAGTTTTTTTTTTATTGTATTGTTTGTGTTCAGCGCTTTGAGACGCTGCTTTTAAAGGCGCTTTATAAAATAAAATATGGATGGATACTAATTTCTTGTGTTTGAACAGTGGTAAAACTGAAGTTATGCTCATTGGTTTCCGTTATCAAATTTCTAAAGCTGGTTGTCTGTCCCTGACTCTTGACGGCTCTGTTTTGGAAATCCAGAGTCGAGTGAGGAACCTTGGAGTTATTTTTGATGCAAATCTGTCTTTTGATTCTTTTGTCCAGAGCATTGTTAAAACCTCTTTTTTTCCACCTCAGAAATATCGCAAGATTGCGCCCTATGTTAAATTTTACAGTCGCGGAAATGCTGATAAATTCCTTTGTTGTCTCACGGTTAAACTATTGTAATGCTCTTTTAGCCGGAGCTTCTAAATCTACATTTAATAAGTTGCAATATGCACAAAATTAATCCGCCAGGATTTTAACTGGGACTAGGATTGGCAGTCATATTACTCCAGTGTTAGAATCTTTGCACTGGCTCCCGGTCAGGTTTAGAGTGGATTTCAAAATTATGATGCTTACTTTTAAAGCATTACATGGACTGGCACCACATTACCTTATAGAATTGTTACATCCATACACTCCTAGTCGTAGATTGCGTTACTCTCAGTCAAACTTGTTGGTTGTTCCTCAAACACGTCTAAGATCTATGGGTGATAAGACTTTCTCTTTCTATGCTCCTGTCCTTTGGAATTCTCTGCCTCTTGAACTTAGGGACGCTCAGAATTATGATGTTTTTAAGGTTCAACTTAAGACATATTTTTTTAAACTTGCATTTGCTTGCTGATTTTGTATTGTTTTTTATTGTATTGATTATATTGTGTTCAGCGTTTTGAGAAGCTGCTTTTAAAGGCACTTCATATAATAAAGTTTATTATTATTATTATTATTATTATTATTATTATAAGAACCGAACCATAAGGCACCCCATTGGTTAGTTCATGTGATTTGGACACTCAGCCTCTTAGGGGAACCTTGAAGAATTTGCTTGTGAGATAAGACTCAATCTAGCAAAGTGCATTTGTCGTGAGGCCCAGGTCAGAGGAGAATATGGTGGTTCACTGCGTCAAATGTAGCAGTCAGGTAGATAAAGATATATAAATCCTGAAACTCTGGAGAAGCTTCAGATGAGGATGAAAAATGAACAGATGAAAAAAAATTGTTTTATTCACTTATATACATCAATTCAGGATCAGACTCATGCATTGCAGCAGACAGATGGCCATTTCTGAATATCTTTGAAAGTGCAGAGACCTCTATCCTCATGCTGTTCCAGCTTCCAGCATACTCTTTGTTCTCCTAGAAAACCTTTCTTTTCTGAGAAAATCAGATCAAACCATTGCGTAAAAAAACATTCCACAAGACTGACTTCAGACACACAAAAAAGTGATTATTCAAATTAAATTCTTAGCTAAAAATAACCAGTACTCTCAGCTGGGAAATTTATTAATGGTCTATGCGCTCATTCCACAGCTCGGTTGTTTCTCAAGGAGAGTGTTAAGTGAAGTGCAAATTTTATATATTTGAAAATGTATTAGCTTTTACACTTTTGGAGAAAAAAAAATCTATACCTTTAACTTTAACGCATAAGATTCCTTGTGACTAAAACATACAGCAAATCTTTATGTACAGTAGGTGGAATTTGTGCAATGTCCTTAATACTGTATCAACCATTGTGCACATGCTCAATCTTAGTTGCATTCATAATCTGTTGTCCAACTGATTTGCTTACATTAACCCTCTGGTATTGATCATTTGGGGGTCACACTTGTGTTGTTCCCGGTCAAAAGTGAATAAATACCTGAAATGTAACTTTTTTTAATTTTCAAATGAATGTAATATATTTTTGTTAAATAATAAAAAAAAATAATAATAATAATGTTTAAAAAAAATCTAATATTTTTTATATTACTTTTTAATTATGGCAGTATTTCAAAATAGAGATAATGCCTTTAAAATAAAA